AATGTGTAGAGAGATACCCATTTACACATTGGTGTAATATGAAGGCTTGCTTGTTGAAGTTTCTGTCCTGCCCAGTTCCCAATGCTGGTAGGTCCCAAAGAAAATCACACAGAGGCCTACATAAGTTACAAACTGGCCCATTAGCTCAGACTTCTTATTAGCTCATATAACTTTTACTACCCCATTATTTTAGTATATGTCAACCACATGACTCAGTACCTTTTTCGGCAGGGTAGGTCACATCTTTCTTCAGTGTCTGAGCAGGACTGGGGAAAAAGCTTCCTTCTTCCCAGAATACTCCTGTTCTCATTGTCCCACCTCTACTTTCTGTCTGGTTGCCATGCCTATACTTTCTGCCTGTCTACTGGCCAATCAGCATTTATTTAAAACATAATTGACAGAATACACATTTGTCCCACACCACATTGGTTTTTAGGTACTTTTACCTTTTGTTTAAGATGATTATTACGATGGACCTTTATTATTAAATGCATGTGTACTACGGTACATATTTGTATTACATTACATATGTTACATTATATATGTATATATGTAACAATAAAAGTGATATATATTACATTAGTTTGATTAACCTTATTATCTAAAAGCAAATTATAGTTTTAAAAGGAAAATACTTACTGATCTTGGAGAATCAACAGAGTGAAGTAAAAGGAGAAAAAAACAAATCAATAAATCTACAAATGTACTGTTGTTTATTGTCATTTCTTCATTTCTTTCAATAACAGAGGTTTTAATTAGCAAAAGTTTAGTATATAAGCAGTGCCACTTAACTGGGAGAAATTAATGTTGTATCCTGAAATCTTTTAGTAAAGTGAGCAACTGATATCCACAGAGGCTAATTCTGTAACTACAATCTGTTATGACATGTTGCATGGTGGCCATGTGAGTCTTCACAGTGATAGCAATTTTAACTTGGCATTCACTTCTGATATTCACTGGTGACAAAATGCCTTTACTTAAGCTTCAAATTGTAAATGATATTTGGGACTGTCTCAGAGTTCTTCCATTTCTTGCAACTGATTTTGAGAAATATGCTTAGGATGTAACCACCTACTTTGGAAGGAAGGGGAGAGGAGCTCTGTAAACCATAAAACATTTAAGACAAAGATTACACTAGACTGTATGCAGGATGACTTTAACTTTTGTATTTTATGAGAAAGCATTTTATTCTAACATCTCGAGAATACAAATGGACTGACTGGTATTTAAAAATTCCCCTTGCTTGATTTCACACTTTGTTACTAGAGCTTGTCTTAACAACATATACAATAGTTCATGAGTCTGAGCAAATACCTGTTTGTTGTTTGGTTTATGACAGACTATAGTGCCAAATAAAATAACTTTTCTTAAAAAGAATGTTATCTGAATATTTTCTCCATTACAGAAGTTGTTTACTGTAATAGTTGTAAAGTATAATAAAATCAAAGTCCGTTGCAGTGTTCATTGAACATTCAATAATCACAGTTATGATATATGCTTTATTATACAAGGCATTCAATATATACCCCAAATTATGCATACATGTTTATTTTATAGAAATTTTTCTAACTTATTTTAATTTATTTGTTTAAACATTTTAATAGTATGTGTAAGTCTCAGTTAGAGATTCTATTGCTGTCAAGTGACACCATGACCATGTAAACTCTTATAATGAAAACATTTAATTGGGGTGGCTTACAGTTTCACAGGTTTAGTACATTATCATCATGGCAAGACATAGTGACATACAAGCAGACATGGTGCTGGAGAAGGAGTGGAAACTTGAACATCGCAATCTGCTGGCAAGAAGAACTGAATTGTGTCACTGGGTGCAACTTAAGCATAGGAGACCTCAAAACCCATCCCTAAAGGGACATACTTCCTCTAGCAAGGCCATATCTATTCCAACACAGCCCCATGTAATATTGATACTCCTTTTGGAAATCCATATTTCTGCCAAACCACCATTAAATTTGGTGGTATATACAGTGGAACAATTTTTTTTTACTAACTGCTAACCAAATAAATTATTAGAACTATGATTTGACTGAGTAATAAAGACCGTATCCAGCAAAGACAAGATCCTGGGAACTCTGTAATTCTGGTGAATCTGTCTTTTTTGTCTTTAGACCTCTCTTGAAGTCTTTAAAATGATTTCATTCTTTCTTCTTTACACTTACTGCATTCATTAAATCAGGACACTGGAAAGGTCTGTTCATGTCAACTTGGAGTTTTGAAGTCCTCCCATGTCTAAACATCCATTCAGTTTCAAATACTGGGTCAATATACTGCTGTTATTACATGGACTCTTTTTTTCTTTATTCTCTTATACATTTCATCCTTATTCTATACCCATCATTCATAAGTCTATCACTGTACTTCTCATTTGCGTAAAGTATTTCATAAATGTATATGATATATCCTGTTCAAATTCACATGGTACTACCTTCTTTAATCTACTTCCAGGCACCCAAACGTATCTTCCAGATTCTTTGGAACTTCATGCAATTTTTAACAACCCAGTAAAACCAATTAGTGCTTCTCTAATTATAGGGAGCCTTTCTTGAGTTCATCTAGCATGTATTGAATGATTTGGATTGTGATTTATATTTTCATGGAAATTTTCCAATGAATGACATATTATTTATTGCAAAATATATTCTTAGATGATATATCCTAGACCTAAATTCTACTTTAAATTCAAGTCTGTAATTCAACAAAATTGTTTTGCACTAGTTACTATTTTACTGATTATTTACCTGTTCTCAAAAATCAAACTCTAAAAAATAATTACCTTGGTTTTATACTTTTAATAATAGTAGTAGTAATAGTAAATTATAGTGTAATTAATTTTGACATAGGAGAAGTTAGAATTTATATAAAAGAATATGAATATTGACTGAAAAAACAGGTATATTTTGTATTCTGTTTGAACTTCAAGTAAGGAGTTATGAATAATTGAATAAATTATATATACAAATGATAATATCATGTCCTGCATAATGAACTATCAACAGATGGAGACATTTTTCAAAACAACGTCTGATATTATTATGAATATTTTATGAGACTTTAGAAATCACCAAGTTTCTTAATTACTTAATATATTTTGTTAAGAGTTGTTTTTAGTAAAGGTATGAGAAATTTTCTTTTATAAGACTATGGATAAAACAAAATAAAATATCTCTAAGTATGTAGAGATAAAAACAAAATGTAATTTTTATATTTATATTTTATTTTTAAAAGTACACTTACTTTGATTTGTTTGAAAATAGGTTCAGTATGGGACTAAAATAGGATTCATTAGCATAGTATCAATATTTACCAACACAGAGACATATTCTTCCTAAGGGATTATGTTTTATCATGCTGAGAAATCTAGCTGCGATCATGTTTTAGTATTTGTGAATGGATAGGAAATTTGCATTGCTGCGGTTTGCTTACTGCTATGAATTTTGCTTTGTATGTTAGGCCACCTACACAAAGCACTTTTTTTTAACCTAAATAGTGAGAATATTCAAAATACTTTGTATTCTCATGCCTCAAATCAGATCGTGAAATAATTTTATCAGATTTACAAATCTTTTGTTTTCTTGTCACCCTAGACACAGTATTCAGAAGTTTCTAGGACATTGCCTTCAATATTTGAAACAACTGAACATAGGATGTTTTCTCATAGAATTGAGTTCCACTTCAGTTAATTTTTTTAGTCATAATCTGAAAATGTACTTGTTATTTATAACTTCAACACAGGTGTAATTTTGTTGTTAAGCATTTTCTTCCTATAACAATATTTCTGAATGAATGTTTCCTTGTGATTAGGGAGGCTATTAAATTTTATTCAATTAAATCTAATCTACTTGCTATTGGGTACCATTTTTTTTAGATTACATATTGTTATCTGACATCACAGGCGTAGAATTCACTTCTTCAAATTTTAATTGCCATTATGCATTACCTATTGCATAATAAGTGTGTTAATAAGCTATCTGGAATTGTAAGTTATAGTGGCTATACACAGTTTCTTCTTGAGGGACGGTTCCATCTTAAAATGGGCTTAAAGTGATCTAAATCTTATATATGACTTTCATGCATCTAAAATGAAAACCATGGGTGTATTTGGTCAAATATATTTATTTGCTATATTAGGCCTCCAAATCACATAAAACAAATAGAGAAATAATAGATTACTCAGAAAGATCTGTTGGTAATTAAGAACTATGGAATATTTCTGTGTGTTGTATGATTTCACTTTAGATATGATGCATTGTAGCTACAAATATTCTCCACCTCACTGATCCCCCTGGACTAAGTTTTCTCTGTCTTCCTGTTTTCGAATCACTTACAAAATAACCACTCTGAGGCTTAATATTATTTACATACTTTTTGGCCTATTAGCACAGACTTCTTATTAACTTACTCTTACATCTGAAATTAACCTGTTTCTGTTATTTTATATGTTACCATGAGGCTCATGGTTTGTTGCCTCACATCTTGCTTCTTGGGCTGGTGCATGGTGTCTGCCTGATTCTGTCTTCATTTTCCCCGCATTCAGTTTAGTTTTCCCACCTAATTATATTCTGCTCAGCTGTAGAAATTCCTACAGTCAGTAGCCTTTAAGTTACTCGTTCCCTTGGACGGGGCCTCTAATACTATAAATGCTGATGTAAGCACATGGTCCCCCTCTTTTCTGGCTGTGGGATTCAGCAGCTGTTTCCCATTCTGAGAAGAAGACTTTTTTTTTTTTTAATTAACCCTTTTCCAAACTTTATTCCCAGGCTTCTTCAGCTTAATTTGCTGCAAAGAATGAATTGTGTTTAAGCAAAAAGTGAAAAGAGCTGCAGTGTCCAAGGGGCTTGGGTTTAAAAATATTAGCGATCTAGATTTGATCAGATCCATAAAAAAAAAAGATCCATAAAATAAAAAGACCTTTAAAAAGCAGCCATGATATAAAATAGCAGCTCCTGTAACTTCTGCAAGTGTCGCTTCTCCAGAAGTCGCCTCAGCTCAGTTTGCCTCGTTCTTAGAAGCCTCATCAAAATTCTCCACCAGATCTGGGACTTCATCATCATCATCCTCTCCAGTAGCAAGGGGTGCTTTTCCATCCACAGATTGTTTGGGCAGAGCTTCAGCCAGTCTCCTTAAACTAGTCAGACTGTCTGCTCCAAGCTGGTTTAGAATGCTGGGAAGCATTTCTGTCAGTTGCTTTGTCTCGGCATGGCCTGTAATGGTGAAGGTGTTTGCTGCCAGAGACGCCTGAACTTTAGGGTTGTTAAAATGGATCACTGTTCCTTGGTTTGTAAACATGTTCACCTCTTTAATACCAGAGATATTGTTCACCCCTAACTTCTTTAAAGAGAACTGCAGTTTTTTATCGTCTGCTGTAGCTGTTCTGTGAACCCCCTTCGTCTTTCTGCGAGCAGCTCCTTTCCCACCAATGCGCACTTGTGCCTGCAGCTTGGCCAGTTTTTCCTGGTTCATGATCGTTTCTTTCATCTTGTCGGAGTGGAAATGGGGTCGCGCGGGGGACTAGGGTTCGCGCTCAGGGGGTCTCGGGCGGACCAGCTGAGATTGAGAAGAGGACATTTATCTGTGAGTCTACCACTAAATAAATAACCCTATATTATACTCAATTCCAAGCTAGTGTGGGATTTCTTTTTAGCATCCATCTTCATTGCTCTGCCCAAAATGAAAAAAGCAGCTTCTATATTAATCAATGATAATAAAACATACACACAGCCTATGGATAGAAATCCCACATCAGTCTAACAGTTGGGGAAGAAAGATAAGTGAAGGAAATATTATAATAAACTATCTCCAAAATACAAAAGATTGAAATAGAGCTGTCTTTTTCCCACTACAACAAGAATAGAGGCTGCCTATGGGAGGAACAGATGGCACTTGAGCTTCAGGATATTGGCCCACCAAAGCAGAAGGCACTAATGGGTGAATCTCAGATATGCAATGCCCTCTGGACCATGTACTCTGTCTCTTGCTACTGCTGTGCCTCTACATGCTTGCCCCTGACATTTTTCTCTGGTATCTGGCATGGTGTGAATGGGTATGCGGGGATTGCCCCTGCCTTTTATGTAGTGTGATCATCTCATGTAAATACCACACTCTACTAGCCAGTTTTACCTGTGGATTATTATGAAGATGTTTTCCTCTTAAGCTGTACTGTGTACGTGAAGTAATTATTTTCTATAATCATAGAGCTAGTTAAATAGAATTCTGATGATTAAGGTGTTTTTTTAACAAATATAGTAAAGGGTTATGACAGAGGTCAGTTTAATGAAAAAAATTATATAGGTAAAGGCAAGATAAAGCACAGGCTGTGGATCATAAAAGAAAAGAGTAAGGAAGCGTCATGCAACTAGGACTTAGGTGTTTATCTTGAGGAGCCATGTAGTTTAGATTAATGACTAAGGAAAACATTGAGCCCCAAAAGCAAGGTTAGCTGAAGTGTTGTTGTTTTTTTAATCTTAATATTGGGACATGTGTTCATGGGTTTAAATGAAATGATGACTTATGATTAAGTTAAGATATTCTTGTTAATAGCTTTGAGGGAGAAAATATTGGGGGACAATTTAAAATTTTGAAAGACACACTTTTAATAGTTGAATGGCAGACTGATTAAGGTCAGGAAACAAGAACAATGGTAACTTGACTATTGCTGGCTTTGAAGTCCCTTTCTTGCAAGGATAGTTTGGTGATCAAAGGTGATGATTAATTCCTAGTGTCTATTTGTACCCTCACCTTCCTGATAAAAATCCTATTGATAAATGGGTTTTCACACTGAGAATTTAAGGAAGAATTCACTGAATGCTTTTCGTATATAAACGTTTAGATTTGTGATTCTTTTAAGTTTTTTATAAGATTACCCTTTGATATAAAGGATAAAGTCATTGATCTTTTCTTTGTAATAACAAAAGGCAGCTTGCTAGTAAAGGAACTGCCTGAAAAATTACCTTGTTTGCTTGCTTAAACTCTGTTACTCTAACAAGTTGCTTGAATATGAATGTATGTAGGTTCTTTTGGGAATAATTTGCTTTTTCCTGTAATATTTAAATTGTTTAATCACATAAGGAAAATGGGAAGCATTTTTACTTGGATACATTGTACTCATTCACTTAAAAATAGAATGTAACCACAGTATAATTTTTACATTGCTTGAAAGAATTTGCTGAGATATGTAAGCTGTAAAGTAAAATAAAGATAGAAAGATCTTGAAGGTATGTGTGTGAGTCCTTCCATTTTTCACCGGCCCCAGAGAATTAAGAATTAAGTTTTACTCCCTCAAGTAGAAAAATAAATTAATGATTATTTGATTGACTCTGGTTCTCCTTCTATTCCTAAGCTGCTGAAAACTTGTTGTTACAGCAACAAGAGTTGACCTTGATAACAATAGTGAGGTAGCACTGTTTCATCCTTGAGATCCTTCAAGCTAACTTGCTGAATGCCATTACTAAACATTTTCCCAGCTTATGTAATCAAACGAAAATATCTCTGAATACATTACCTCCTCCCCTTTAATTGTATCTGTGATAATGGGCTAAAAGTTAAATCACAGATCACTGTGAAATTCTTCTGTTAAATTAATTGAATATCCAAAATCTTATATATGTAAAAAAAGAAGTACAGACAGTTTATGTTGATAGAGTTTCAAATATATATCATTATGTTGAAAAGAATCTGAAGGAAATAATAGAGAGTAATTTTAAAGGTTCAGTGTCCTTCTTTAGGGAAAATGTTCTTCAAAATAAACAAAGTTCTTTACCGTGTTAGTTATTTGCTATTAGTTCTGTAAAGCATTAATATAGACACACTAATTAGTAGGAGAATTATACAGTTCACTTTGAAAAATAATAGAACATTTTCAGTCCTGGGGCTTACAGGATCCCCCAGCCATTGGTGCTTGTCTGAATTTTCAATAACGAGAGTGTGTTTCATCATGTCGAATTGGCCGAAATTTCTTTTTTTTTAATTCATAAAAGTTTATTAATTTATAAAAGTTTCCATTTCTGCCCCTCCTCCCAACACCCTCCCACTTCCCCCACTCCCTCTCCTCCTCCCCCTCCATCCCTAAGAGCAGTCAGGGTTTCTTGTCTTGGGAAGTTCAAGTTCCTCCCTCCTCCCTCCAGGTCCAGGAAGGTGAGCATCCAAACAGACTGAATCCCAAAAATCCAGTATATGCAGAGGAAACAAGTCCCAGTGTCATTGTCAATGGCTTCTCAGAAAGTCCCCGTGCCAGCCACATTCAGAGAATCCGGCCACATTCAGAGAATCTGGTTGTATCACGTGCTCGTTCAGTCCCAGTCCAACTGGCCTTGATGAACTCTCATTAGATCAGTCCCCTTGTATCAGTGGGTGAACGCATTCCTCACGGTCCTGCCTTTCCTGGTCATGTTCCAGAGCCATCTGTATACGACCCTCTAGCAATAGTAATACTTTTAAATATGTCTGGAATTTTCCATGTGGAAGTCTTGTGTCGTCTCATTAGTTTTACTTCCATTTGTATTATTTTTATGATATTGCCATTTTAATTCTTTAATTTGCTTTTGTAATTGTTGATGATATGGAGTAATTTCTATTTTAAGGTTTATTTTAGAGTAATTTCTATTTTAAGGTTTATTTTATTTTTATTTCCTCTGTGTGGACCTATGTTCATGTATTCTCCTATGAGTACTACCACAGATGTCATACAAATGTATTGAGTTTTCTGAAATCAGAAATACAAGTAGCTATAAACCACTTATGTGGGTACTGGAAGCTGAACTCAGGCTATTTACAATAGCAGCAAGCACTTTGAATACTAAGCAACCTCTCCAGCCCATAGAGTAAATTTTCTGGTATATTGAATATTAATCAAGTGATCTTGCTGGCAACACTTACAATTGCTATGATTTTCTATTTATAAAATAATGTGAAATTCAAATGATAAAAGCTTTGTTTTTTATTTTTTATAGCTTATGTTTCAATATTTATATTAATGAAATATGAAGAGCTTCAGGGAAATTATAAACACCTGACAATAATTATTAATACTACATTTTCTTATTTTCTTTTGTAATAACATTAATTGATAATTCCCACTTTAAACAATTTCACCACAGGGCCTACTTGTATGTATATGATTGCTAATGTGTGATTATTTTTTCATTTCAGTAATGTTTATTATGGAATTGTGCTACGTTCATATTATGTAGAGTTAGAGTTTTGATGTTGTGTGTTAACTTAAATTTAATCTCAACCATATTTCTTTCTTTCTTTTGTTTATCCTTCATCCTTTTTATCCTTTTTTTCTCTCTCTTTTTTACAATTTTCTTATATCTGAGAAGAATCTATGATGAAAACTTCTAAGACGGCATCTAAGATTCTCTGCTTGTAGATTTTACATAACTTGAAAAGTTAAACAAAATATTAAGACAGTGTTGCCGAATGGTATTTTAAACAGCTATTACCTGCAACAGTAAGAACCTTCTCTGATGAGAGATGAACATAGTACTCTTCTGAGTTAGTTCTTTATCATTTAGCAAACTATGGCTGCTGGGAGTGATTTTTCTATAACACAGAGTACATTCTGTATTTTACAATTTTTTTTTAGCAGTTTTAGTTTTTAACAAGTTGTGTTTATTGCTATATCAAAACAAATCCAACTCTATAGGAACTCTAGAGTCAGTACTGTTTAACAGTTACAACAAAACTTTTGTATAGGTATAGGGCATAGGAAAATTATCTGGGCAAGTATAGTTTGAGCATGGGGTTTATGTCCAGGGGAATAATAATAAAAAAATAAATAAAACAGCAGCAACAAAAAGAAATACAAGCAAAGTCCAGAAGAGAGTAAAAAGATTATTTTTTTTATGTATTATTCCTATGGATCCTTTTAGGGTAGAGCGACTTGGATGAGAACCATCCTGATATGCAATCGTTCTTCACAATTTTTTTCTCCACCTCATCCTGAAGTGTGGCTGTGGCGTTGTCATACTTGCCCCATTCAGATGAGCCTGATGAGGTGGATTTGTACACTTAGAACTAGATCATCATAAATTGTGGAGAACCTTGCCTCCATGTTTACCACTCAGTTATCTCAATGTATCTATCAGGCCCTGGGCTATATCACTCTATCCACTGTCTTCATACCTCGTCTACTGATATTTACCTCTTTTTGCACTTTGTTGAATTCTTACTTGATGTGGGAGAATTGTCTGTATTCTGTCAATCATATTTTAATAAAACACTGATTGGCCAGGCAGGCAGTATAGGCGGGAAAACCAGACAGGAAGTAGAGGTGATGCAATGAGAACAGGAGAATTCTGGGAAGCAGGGAGGTTCCTCTAACACTCCTGCGCAGACCACCGAAGAGGCAACAACATGTGAACTGACAGCTGAAAGAGGTACCAAGCCAAATGGCTAACACAGAGTAGAATTATGGGTTACCGTAAGATGTCAGAATTAGTTAATAAGAAGCCTGACCTAATGGGCCAATCAGTTTATAACCTTATGGAGTCCTGTGTGTGATCTTTCTTTGGGAGTTGCTGGCTGTGGGGTACCAGGCGGGACAGA